GAACATCAATCTCAGCCTCTGCAATATGAATCATTTATTTCAAACATACTAGGGTTATATACCAATCAGATAGACCACATCATACCATAAAATAGGAAACAACATTTGTACAAGATTTAGCCAAATGTGGCTGCGAGTGTGGGAGGTAGTAATTAAAAGACAGGGCATAGTTCGAGAATGGTAAATCATAGAATAATAGTTCATAGGTCAAAATAAAGCTCATAATAAGAGGGACATGAAAATGAATAGTTTAGTTATTTAACAATTATACAATGAAAATATACGCATAGTATTGGTCCATAAATGGATCCCAAAAGTTACCATTCATTATTCTTATCGGGATATAACATAGTCAGAAAAAGTAAATACAAACATGATGGAAACCTAATTTCGCAGAACCCATTTGAAACTTCGATTATTTCTTTGTTGTTGTGACGGACTGCATTTATCAGGTTGTGAATCTATCTTTATCGAATGAACTGTTGAAGACCTGTTCGATGTATGACAAGTCACTGACTACCCCCAGAGTAAAAACTAGAGGTTTTCTACCATAGTTATTTAACAATTATACGATAAAAATATACGCATAGTATTGGTCCATAGTCAGTCAGTCAGCTACAACGTAGGACCAGGCACATATATGCATCGGTCCAGGTTGCCATACCGCATTAGCACAGCAAGATGAACACCGGATTCACAGCAGTGGTTAGGTCAAAGGTGGTAATATATAGAAGAAAGATTGCATATAAGGATACAGTACAGGAAGAATGGTCTAGTACATAGAAAGAAAGATATGAAGTGATTTTAATCTCTTAGTTTAAGGGAAGACAGAGAGTGTATACACCGACGCCATTGTGATCGATTCTGAGCCACGTCACCAAGAGTCTCCAACCATTGGTTACGATAGTCACGCGTACCCCAACCAAGTAGTCTGTATCTACCAACATGGCTCAGACTAGAAGTTAGTGACTTCAAGCACTGAAGCCACGTTCTGGTTTGGCCGCCCCTACATTTCTTCCAACCATCCTGAACACCGGTTAGCATTGCACGTCGTGGTAATCGGTGTTCGGGCATACGTAACACGCGGCCCAACCATCTCAGTCGATGAAGATTCACAACCTCATCGACTGATTTACCATCTTCTCCTAATACCCTGCGTCTAACCTCACTGTTACTTACCCGGTGATCCCAACAGACGCCAGCAATATTTCTGAGGCATCTGTGGTCAAATACTAGTAGCTTACGAGTGTCTTCTACTCTTAATGGCCATGTTTCGCTGCCGTAAATTAACACAGAACGGACTGCCGCGCAGTGCACTCGTCCTTTTATTGATAGACGGATATCTCGCCTTCGCCATACGCGACGTAAGTTGGCAAAAGCCAAGCGAGCTTTTCGAATCCGTGCTGAGATTTCGTCCGATACCAACCCATTAGGGCTGATCAGACTCCCAAGATAAGTGAAGTTGTCGACGCGTTTGACTACTTCACTCCCTATCCTTAGTTCAGGCGTTGACGCAGACCAGTCCTGAAGCATCAGCCTGCATGTAGAGGGAGAGAAGCGCATTCCAAACATTCTGGCATTGTTGCTCAGCGCTACCAAAAGACTCTGCATTTTTTCAGCGTCTTTACCAAACAGGACTATGTCATCCGCGTATTCTAAGTCGATAAGTGGACCTCCTGGAAGGAGATCAATACCCGAGAATTCAGTAGACGAGAATGTTATTTGCATCAATAGGTCTATGATGAAGTTAAACAAAAATGGAGGTGGACAGCATTGACGGACACCACTTGAGGTTGCAAAAGCAGATGACAGTTCGCCATAAGCTCTGACTCGACTTGTATTGCTCGAGTAAAGAGCATTCACAAGGTTCATGTACTTCTGGGGTACGCCTTTCAATGACAGACACTGCCACAGAATCTCGCGTTCTTCCGAGTCAAATGCTGCTTTTAAGTCAAGAAAGACCACCATCGTCGGACGTCGATAAGTATGCCTGTGTTCTGGAACCTGACGAATGGTGAATATGTGGTCGATGCAGCCACGAACAGGTCTAAAGCCAGCTTGATTCTCTTGTGTTTGTAGTTCATGAGTCTTAGTTAGGCGTCTGATAAATATCGAGGCTAGTATTTTAGATACTATGTTTGTTAAACTAATCCCTCTATGGTTGTCACAGGATGATTTTAACCCTTTCTTATATATTGGGACGATAAGTGATTGTGACCAGTCAGATGGAATGACGTCTAACTCCCAGATCTTAGCTAAAATATTAGTCAACCTAATCGTTAAAATTCGATCACCATCCTTAAAGACCTCTAGAGCCAATCCATCTGGACCAGCTGCCCCTCCTCGTTTCAGATTAACTATAGCCTTTTGAACTTCTGCTAGAGTTGGGGGACCTACTTCAATGTTCCATTCACACTGTCTGGGAATGGAGGGTAGTTGTAGAGTAGCTGGAGGCCATCTGAACTGTTCCCTAAAATGTTCCGCCCATCGTTCTAAACGTCTGGACTGAGAGCAGATGAGGGTGTCGTCTTTTCCTGAAATAGTCTGACTTACACTCAACTTATTAATTTCAGTTTCTTTTATTAGTCTGTAAAGCTGTCTTGTGTTCCCGCTACTCAATTCAGTTCTAATGGGTCTTTTTAATGTGGCTGTTTTGCGTCCAGTGAGGCGCAAGCAGATGCGTACCCGTATTAGGGCATGGTTGGAGTCCAAACAGGTACTCCAGAATGAGCGACAATCTTCTACCGACCCTCTCCAACGATGACTGATGGCAATATGGTCTATTTGAGTCCATCGTTGGTTTGGTGTAGGGGGTCGCCATGTTAGACGATGTCTCTTCTTATGCTTAAAATTTGTGTTTGCTAAAAATAAACGATTGTCTGAGCACAGTTGCAGCAGACGATCACCATTATCTGTTCGCTGAGCCGGTATACTAAAATACCCACCTAAATGCCTTTCTGGTTGGTTTAAACTACCTAGGAAGCTTGCTGACCGATTTGAAGGCTCCAATGTGTAGTTTGGAGCGAGGTTTCAGTAGACCTGGGACAGTGTTTTGAGCACTAGAATCATTGGCTATGGTGACACTTGAGGGGGAAGCCGAAAAAAGAAATTTAGAGTGGAAAGTCGATGTAGGAGGAATAATAGGAATTGAAGAGGAAGGTTGATTATGAATACAGTGGTCTTGAGTGCTGTTAGAGATATGAGGGTGGTTATCACTTTCCGGTTGCCCACACCGTGGAAGGGTTGTTCTGGAGGTACCTGAAAAGGAAATTGGATTAGAGGTGGTCTTAGTGACCTGAGGGCGTGACCGCAGTGCCCAAGGGACAACTGCCTGAGGTCGGCCACACCACCTTTTCATGGGTAATTTTTGTGTTAGCTCCGTACTTGTTGAGACCCTACCGCCGGAGACGGATATCCGTGAGATAAGGCGAGGTGTGCATTTTTAGGGTCGACCTTTTCTAACCTCACCCCTCCTTGTGGGAAGGCAGCATCGCTGTCATGCTGGTTGTCTGAAGGAAACACCTTACTGCTGTCACACCTCTGTACAGTCAGCAGTACGACTTCGCCTTCGGACCTTGGGTTTGTTGCTTTTAGTCTTACCGCTCTTCAACCAACCTGTCTGACATGGTAGGACCTTGAGGAACAGTTGTTCCAGCCAGTATAGCTCGGTTGCTTCATCACGATAGGCAAGCCCGACCACCACGTCAAGGTAGCAACAACGGTCGGGATTGGTCCATAAATGGATCCCAAAAGTTGCCATTCATTATGCTTATCGCGACATAACACAAATGGAATAAAGATCGTAGTAAGTGTGAGAACTATAGAGGAATCACACTACTGTCAGCACCAAGTAAAGTTTTCAGCGGTGTTACTGAACCGAACAAATCATTCAGTAGATACATCTTCAAGGTAAACAAGCTGGCTTTCGTAGCAATTGATCATGTACGGACAAAACTGCAACGCTGTACAATCGACTAAACATAATTCATCAGTTCGTATTAAGCTCCTTGATTATGAGGCAGTATGCGACTTTGTGAATGAAAGGTACGGTAGGATCGTCGATATTATGAAATACGTGAAAAGATCTTCACCATCATGCGAAGCCTTTAGGAGGGATACTGATGTGTGGGTAAGAAAAATAATGACTGGTTATTTACCTAATCGGACTAGTAAATAATGTGACAGGTACTAGATGCGCTATATATTTTCCTACCCCTATTATTATTTCTGACGCTGCAACATACTCGAGTTCTAGTCAGGCTTGTCACGTGCTCTTGATCTGAATTGTGTTGAAGTTTTGTACAATGGACACTGAGAGGGCAACTAGTGTAGATATTCGTCTAAGGCAAGTTAGTTTAAGGTGGAAAACCGAGAGCTATTTCAGACACACATCGCAGAAGCCAACAAACTGGATTATCAGAGAGATTCCAAATTGAAGTCCTGATGGCAAAGAAAGAGGCCCTAGGAACTGGATGTGTATACCTAAAAGAGAGAGCCCAAGACAGAGTTGTTAGGATCCCTTGGTCGGTGGCCTATGGTGCAAGAAGGGTACTACATTTAATTATATCCTTTTTAGTCCATATCGATACTACAGCACATGAAGTTAGAATGTAGATGTTTAGTCATTTTAAATTTAGCTTGCTAGCTTGTTGCTACTATGAATAATCTACACCTTTGAAAAAGCCATCTTTTGTTAACCTTCTCAAATGTCTGAGGTGATTATATTAAGCTGCTTGAATTTTAATTTACTGGTAGCTGTATTAAATCTTCATACAAGTCAATATAATCCCTGAATTCATGCTTCAACTCAACCAATACTTTTCTAAAAGTTAACCAACATATTTCTTGTTGACCAATATCATCTAATATAATGAAATGTATCACATCTCATGACCTTGAAAATGTAATGTGACTAAGTTTGAAATAAAATTTCTATCAATAAAATCTACTGCTATGTATAATACTTAGTAAGTATTAAATAAACTGATCCACAAAGAATTGTACTTTCGTTACACGGATGCATAAAATTAACAATTTATGCCAACCAAGTCATTATTTCCTATCCACATTATTGATCCAACATATAAAGATATAAATGAATATGCAAAAGATTATGATTATGATCTACGTGGTGTACCAATATCAAAATGGATATTGATCATAAATTATCCATTAATTTATTTAAAATATTATTTAGAAAATTACTCGTTTCTGTCATATTTACTACCGGTGATATTACTTTTGATATTTTATATTTTAATGAATCTTGTTGAAAGTATCAACTGTTTATATTATAAAATGAAAATTGCAAGAGAATGGAAAAAATTTACAGATAAACATTATCATCCAGTATCAACTGAAAACAAACCGGAAGACATCAATCTTAAACGATCAAAACAATCCCACGAACAATGTAAAGAAGATACTTCAAACGTTACAGAAGGACAACAGAAAGAAGATTTAATAGACCCTGTTCTTACCTGCCTACCCTATCATATGAGAAAGTTACTAACAATTACAACTGTAAACGATAAAGTATCGAATGAAACTAATACAGAATCAATTGATGAAAAAATCCAGCTTCAGGAAATTGAAAGCCAAGGTTGGATAAACGAATACATATCTAGAGTTCGTGTTGCAATGAAACAAGCTGCAAAGTATCAAAAAATAAAATCTTATCCTTGCGAAGAATGGAATTCTCTTGTGTGCTACAATGAAGATGGTAACGACCAAAATGAAGGTCAGAAGAATCCTAACAGTATCAAAGAGGTTGATTCGTCCAAAATGAAAACACAACTAGTAGATAATGACCACAAGGATAACAAAAATAATGAGAAGCAAAAACCGCTACCAGAATTTCAATTCAAAGGAACTGGTGAATCACATGGTAAATTATCTGGTACTAGGGAACAGAATTCGTTAGCACCGATTTCACACAAAAAACGAAATAAACGTTATCAATCAAAACAACGCTTAATGAAATTTAATAAACCGTTGTATTTAACAACTGAACAAGCGTTGTTTAAAGATAGTGGTCAAGTATCAAATCTACATAGTCTATCATATAGACAGAATAGTTATCATTATTACTCAAGGCATCATAAAAGGCATAAACGTTCTGAAAAAGAAATTTAAATGAGCTGCAAATAATCAAACAAACATTTGTTGCATCAGACTTGAATGAAGACTGAAAAAACTACTATAAGAAACCAATTTTTCCTTATAAATAAACAAAACATTGATGGAAGCAAAGAAGTAACAAATACTTGTCAGTTGATTCATTTGGAATATTACTACATTATTATAATAATAATAACAAGTAAAATTCTTACGGTTATTAATGAAATTTACTCTAATTTTACTGCATAAACCTTATGGGCCAGAATTTTTGCTAGGGTTCATTAGAGCGTCAACTTCATGAAGGTAATACAACATTTTAAGCAACCCTCTCTTAATGCATACAATAATCCATTTTCCTAATTTATAAAAATGGACACAGGTTTTTGCATACAAAGTTTATTATAATTATTATCAAATCTTTTATTTTTATCAGGTCTTCAACTATAATGATTGCTTCACTTATTGAACATAACTAACAAAAATATTTTGGGAAACAGTTACAGCAATTTTAAAATTTTTTTAAATAATAAGTGTATGCAATTTGTAATACTGTGGTGTATGCTACTTATATTGACAGACACATGTAGTATGTAACGCCAATCAGAAGAGGCATGCCCGGAAGTAGAAGGTTGAGTTGAAGAAAACAGGAATATAAACAGAGTAATTGTAATAACAATAGGAATGAAGAAACGATTAAATTTGTGAGAGACAAATGATAGATGTGCAAATGAAGTATTGAATAAATGGTTTCCATAATTTATGAAGACACTCTAGCATTAAGTAATAAATTGATCTTCTCCGCCTGAGTCCTTGTTCACTGCAATACTGTTCATAAACTTGACGTTATCAGCTGGAACGATTTCTACATTGTAGGTTCTTACACAACATAAAACAAACTTAAAATGAATGTGTTAAGGAGACTTCGACAAAATAAACTGAAAGTTGAATTTATTCAAATTTCATACGACGAACGGGAACTTTGGGACAGAATTTTCGAAGAACTATTTCAATATTCACTATCAAAGTTTTGACATCAGTAAAACGTAAGATCGATGACTTTACACTAATATACAGGTATTTTCGATATAAAAAGCCAATTATTCAAGCTGTGTTATCTTAATTACAAATAGTTTTAGGGTCTTATTATCATTCTCTAAATGATTTAGGTGTCTGAACATGAATCCTAAGTAATAACAATAATAAAGAAACTAATGTTTTTGGTCACCGCAGCAAGACAACTATAACAATGAGAAAGATCTCTATCTGTAAAAGGTTGCTCAAAGTTTTACAGATACTCAAAATCTATTAATTTACAATGAGGGTATTAATAAGTGTTAAAATGACCAAGATGTTAACTCAAAATTTTAGATGCCACAATATTTCATGAGTGAAAGTAGCAGTCATTATTGAGAATGCTCTGTCTTTGACACTTACTAATTCTTAATTTAACGAAGACTTTAAGTGGCTCATCATGCAGACAACTATGAATGACAATATGAAACATTAAACATTATAAGGTTTAAAATCGGTGCATGATTACAATGTCATTAAATGTCAAACAAATAAATTTCATACAAGTTACTTGAATCGACAGTGAGTCTATTCCAAAGATCACACACTAGAAATCAATAAACGAGAACAAATGCATTAATTTAAAGAGCGAACAAAATTATTTATTAATTTCATACTATAATATAACAAGGTAATTTAATATGTTTTGCATGTATGCAAGTGTGCTGGATCTCCTAAATGTAATATAAAGGTAAAATATAAAAAAATAATAAAGATTAGAATAGAAATAAAATTTTACAGAAACGTTCCTGTTCACTGTCGAATAACTTAATTTTGTAGAATTAAAATATAGAAAGAAAAGCAAGAAACAATCAAATAATATTTAATTCAGCATTTGTCGAAGTATAAAAATCATTTAAACCAAATATTATAGTTAACTGTGCCAATTTTGACCTAGCGCTTCTAACACTGCCACCTCCATCAGTAGTATCATGAACAAGTAATCGATTGACACGACGTCTTAAAAATTGACTGTAACTTCGAAAACTTGCATGAACCGCATACAACTGCCTCCATTCTGTATGCTCAATCTGTTCATTACTCAATAACTGTTGTTGAGTATCATCAATATCACTAAACTGATGATGCGATGATTTAACAATCCATCTTCCTGTTAATAAAGCACGATGAAACTGATGTGCACATGTGAGCAAACCTTGGAAAAGTAGATTTAATTCACTATCTGATACATCCAGCAAAAGCCTAAAAGAAAATTAAAGTATGAACAACATTATTACTATTCTACTTCATAAATACACATAAGTAAACAAAGGTAGCCACATTTAAACACAGTCAGTATCAAAAGCATAGGCGGTAGAAATATAAGGTCGTACTGTTATTTTAACCAATGTTAAGATTAGCAAACGAAATACAGACTAATCAGCATAAACATTAGCGAACACTGAAATATGAACAGTTAGAGTACGACCCAGAGATTCACAAACGGGAATTTACATAATTTGACATTTAAGTGAATCTTATAAACAAATAAGTAACTGATTTAAAGCCCACATTCTTTATACAGTAATGGCAAACAGCCTGTCCACAACATTAATGCTTTAACGATTTAGACTGATATACATTCATGCTGATAACAGTCTATCACCAACTCAGGGGAACATACAGCTAAGATTCAAACTAAGAATCCAGTTTCTGTTCAAAAAAGTTTCACGCAACAACGATTGTAGAAAGTAGACTGAAGCTAATATTATCTACTGTAATTTTTGAGTTTATTTTTCTTCGTTCCCTATATCGTCCACGAACCTTTATCTCATGACTTCATCTCTGAGCTATTCATTCCTTTATTATTTAAATATAAGTGTTTTTAAATTGAAAAAGTGGTAATATAGTCGGCAAAAAAAGTTGAAATGAATGATATATATCATAATAAACCGACTAAGCAGTCAGTCAGCTACAACGTAGGACCAGGCACATATATGCATCGGTCCAGGATGCCATACTGCATTAGCACATTTAGATGAACACCGGATTCATAGGAGTGGTTAGGTCAAAGGTGGTAATATATAGGAGAAAGATTGCTATAAGGATACAGTACAGGAAGAAAGAATTAGTTCATAGAAAGAAAGATATGAAATGATTTTAATCTCTTAGTTTAAGGGAAGACAGGGAGTGTATACACCGACTAATCAATTAAAATTCAATAAAAAAAGAAGTACTCGTTTATGAACTTTCCACTTATAAACATAATAAACGTTAAATTAAACTTCCTTTCTTTTGAACCAGAACTGTAACGAATTTTACTTCAATATATCAAATTCAGAAGACATTTCTACATAACCCGTAATACAATAAACACAAATAATAATGAAATAAAAAGAAAAGAAAATTTACCCAGATAGAATTTCATTCAAATAATTTTCATGTGCATTGAACAACACATTCAAATTGTTAATTTGTTCACTTTTAATAGATTCTTCATTATCTATAATATTTTCTATGATATGTTTATACATTTTAAATGAATTACCTTCAGACATAAAATTATAAAATGTATTAGATAATCCTAAATATTTCATAAATTTACTCCAACATGCATTAACATGATTTGATAAATGCATATTTAAACTATGAATAACTTGATGTAATTCATGTAACCATAAATAGATACAATGAAATGATTTTGATAATTGATCAAATAGGGTAATGAATGATGATGGTGATGATGATGATGATAAAGTCGAAGATGAAGAGATATTTCTTAAATTTAATAAATGATTTAAACAATAATTACGATCATTTTTTAATTGTATAATACATGAATTCAATGCCCATAAAGCAAATTGACATTGGATTAAACGTTGAAATATACAATTGTATTTTTTTATTATATTAACATTAAAACAAAGATTAATTGGCCATGGAGCATTATACATTAAATGTAAATTCTTAAAAGATATATATTCATATTGGTCAATAATAGATGAACTATTATCAGCTATAGAATGATTTGATTCTATATCGAAATCATTATTTAAAGAATCAATAGTTGATAGTTGTTTTGTTGTTGATATTGACGACAAGGAGATCAAATCTAAGTAATTCTTAATCAAGTTTGTAATGTTTAACAGTGGAGAATTAACAGAAATATCGTCATGTTTATCATTATTATTAAGATCTGAATTAAAATTTGATAATATTTGTTGATTTGACATTTCTGAACTGACTGATTTTAAAAGCTGTTGAAGATAATGTGTATCAAATATGCTGGCACGATCATAAACTGTTCCAGAAGCCTAGAAAAGATAACGAAAATCTATATTTGCATTCTATATAAGTAGTAGAATATAGAAAATATGTTTTCAACTTTTTGAGAATTCATCACTTGAATACAACCTACATACATCCTAATCAGCGTACATGATTCCACTTCAACCTGATAAGAGAGTATTTGTCGTTTTAAACACTAAAACGCTTTCTTGTATTGTGATTTCAATCAAGAGTTCTACTTATTGCATTTACATGACCAATTAATTTCTGTCTAAAGCAAAATGTTGTCAAATATTAAAAATCAATTTATGTATACGGAATATCAAATTAAGAGAAGTGGGAAAATTCTTATTCCAAATCCATTGGTCAACATTGGCTCCTTAATTCCAACAGAATGCACGTTACAGGAATCTGTCCTAGTAATTATAGTTAGTGACAACTTAACTTCTAAATAGTTTTAATTCATTAAAAACGGCTTCTCTATGAATTAATCTGAATTCAATCAGACGGTAACCTACTATTTCAAAAATACTGCTCAAAATTCAAATTAGAAAAAGGCATATTATCGATAACTAGTGTAAACATATCAGTATGAAAAATCTTGATTCTAAATTATAAATACGCTCTACATTCGTTTCTATAAGATCATCGTCTAGATATGCTAATGTTCCACCAAGCACCAAAACCAAATATACATTAATGAACAAATGGAATTATTTCCCATTTTCCCAAACGTGATCCTCGTCAATACTAACATTTTCTGAGTTACTTACAACAAATTTAATACCCTTACATTAATTTTAAGGAGAGCAAACACAACAGTATTTTCAACTGTCATCCCTGGAAACAAGTGACCGAAAGCGAAATACAGAATGAAGAGCTTAACAATAAGAAAACAGACATAGTTTAATAACTCGGTACAAATATATCCAAAGGGCTGTGAATGAAAC